CCCCCCCCCCCCCACCAAAACATATATTACTGATCAGAAGTGTTCTGTGCGGCCTCACTGTACGATCTTGCAGAAATTGAGAAATTGCCTGTCTCTGTTTATTAACTATGTAGCTTTTGAAATTAGTAGTGTTGTATGTTTCCATAATTAATTTCATAAAATACGTAACTGCAGAAAGCTAAGGAGGTTTTTTTTTTTCTTTTTAATTCCTTTGCTGGGATGGGCTTTACTTTTTGAGCCCCTTTTTTTCCACCAACATACATTCTTGAACAATGATTTGAATGCATTTCAACCACACATTTTTCAATAAAATAATATTAAACATAAACTCAAAATTTTTCATTATTTTTTAACCACACATTCTCCAGCATAACACTATTGCAAAACAATCAATGTTTTGCTGTTGAAATAGTTACGTCTTTTAGACTTTTGCAGGGCTTATTCTTTCTTAAATGAAAGAGGAGAATTGACAACCTTAAGTTCAATATACTGCAAACTTTTTGTTAATTTCTTGTAACTATTATCAAATTAGTACATTAGAAAATTTGTTTTTCTTCCCACTAAAGTGCAGTTGACTTCAATTTGACAGAAACTTAAATAGAGTTCAGTATTATCTACTGTTCCACCCTATGATACACGGACACAGACACGTGTGTCCGACACGATACGTGTCGGATACTTCGACTCGTGATTTTTTAAAAAAGTACAAACATGACACGTCGTTGACACGTTCATTAAATTCTTTAAAATTCTTCATTTATATAGTTAAAATTTAGTTTTACACTTATTATTGATTTTTATTTTTATTTTTGTTGAAATCTTTTAAATTTGAGTGCTTATTTATTATTTACTAATAATTTTGAGTTAAAAATATATAATAGCTATAGCAAGAAAATAAAATGATTATTATATAGTGTCCGAAGAGTGTCGATATCGACACGCGTTGGACACGGACATGCTACCCGAGTTAGAGTGTCCATGCTACATAGGTTCCACCCTTCCTTTAGGTATCTTGATTGCTTAACCTTTGTTACTCTGACTATATATCTTTTCTTTTACATTGCTCACTGTTTATGTGTGTTGATTTGCGATGATTTGCTTCATGTTTCCCCTTTATATTGCTGGTTGTGGAAATATCATGTATTGTGTTCTGTTTTTTCTTTGACTTAAGCAGGCCACCGCTGGCTATGCTAATTAATGTTGAATTAATCTGATTTCAATAATTCCATCCTTCTTCCCCCATCTTTGGAAACTTAAATGACTGGAACTGTCTCGCAGATTTTGAATGGTCCCATCCTTTATTACCATCTTATTGGTGGACAAAGATTGGTACCATGCAGAAGAAGAAATAAATATGCCAATTTTTTTATAAACTATCATCTAGATCAGTGTGGTTGAAGATGTGCATCTTTCAACAAATATACAATACACAGACCATCTTGCCTGTCTCAGTCTTCTGTTAATTTGGTTTTTCTATCTCTAAGGTTAGACTGACTTTTCTGTATTTGAATGACAGCTTATTGTGTTGTTGCTGTTGAATCTGTTGGCAGACAGATTCCTATGGCATTCCTTGAGCGAATTAAGGAGGATTTCACCAAGAAATATAGTGGGGGAAAGGCTGGCACCGCTGTTGCTAACAGCCTGAATAGAGAATTTGGGTAATCTCCATATAGTTATATTGTGAATTAAGAGTTGGGAGCAATGTTCTCTTTTCCACCCTGAATCTGTGTTTCGTGCTTTCCCTTTTTTCCCTTATATAAATTCTACAATTAATGAATTTGTCTATCAAAATAATGACAAAAATTTAGGCCCAAATTGAAGGAGCAAATGCAGTACTGTGTGGATCATCCAGAAGAGATCAACAAGCTTGCAAAGGTAAAAGCTCAGGTTTCAGAAGTCAAAGGGGTAATGATGGAAAACATTGAGAAGGTAAAGTGCATTTAACATTTGTATTAACTAATTCATCTTGTGAAATTTCGATGATCCAGCCTAAGATGATGTGAGAAGACTCAGATTCATAGAAGCATGATGCAAAATTTGTAATTGAGACTTTTGTCTTTGCAGGTTCTTGATCGTGGAGAGAAAATTGAACTTCTGGTGGATAAAACTGAGAATCTTCGTTCCCAGGTTTGTAAATATGCTGGTTGTGGAAATATCATGTATTGTGTTCTGTTTTTTCTTTGACTTAAGCAGGCCACTGCTGGCTATGCTAATTAATGTTGAATTAATCTGATTTCAATAATTCCATCCTTCTTCCCCCATCTTTGGAAACTTAAATGACTGGAACTGTCTCGCAGATTTTGAATGGTCCCATCCTTTATTACCATCTTATTGGTGGACAAAGATTGGTACCATGCAGAAGAAGAAATAAATATGCCAATTTTTTTATAAACTATCATCTAGATCAGTGTGGTTGAAGATGTGCATCTTTCAACAAATATACAATACACAGACCATCTTGCCTGTCTCAGTCTTCTGTTAATTTGGTTTTTCTATCTCTAAGGTTAGACTGACTTTTCTGTATTTGAATGACAGCTTATTGTGTTGTTGCTGTTGAATCTGTTGGCAGACAGATTCCTATGGCATTCCTTGAGCGAATTAAGGAGGATTTCACCAAGAAATATAGTGGGGGAAAGGCTGGCACCGCTGTTGCTAACAGCCTGAATAGAGAATTTGGGTAATCTCCATATAGTTATATTGTGAATTAAGAGTTGGGAGCAATGTTCTCTTTTCCACCCTGAATCTGTGTTTCGTGCTTTCCCTTTTTTCCCTTATATAAATTCTACAATTAATGAATTTGTCTATCAAAATAATGACAAAAATTTAGGCCCAAATTGAAGGAGCAAATGCAGTACTGTGTGGATCATCCAGAAGAGATCAACAAGCTTGCAAAGGTAAAAGCTCAGGTTTCAGAAGTCAAAGGGGTAATGATGGAAAACATTGAGAAGGTAAAGTGCATTTAACATTTGTATTAACTAATTCATCTTGTGAAATTTCGATGATCCAGCCTAAGATGATGTGAGAAGACTCAGATTCATAGAAGCATGATGCAAAATTTGTAATTGAGACTTTTGTCTTTGCAGGTTCTTGATCGTGGAGAGAAAATTGAACTTCTGGTGGATAAAACTGAGAATCTTCGTTCCCAGGTTTGTAAATAATGATGCATTTTTTACTATGCATGAAGAGTCTTGAACGTTTTGTTTTAAAAAGTTTGGTTGGTTATGAATTCTAGTATCGACTTCGTGATTAGCTATCGATTGAGATACTATAGCACTTCGAAGAGAGGATACCTTACAGATTGTAATAATGAAAAAGAAATTAATCCCCGTGCTGGTAGGAGGCAAATGCTCCATGAGAAAACAAGCATAATATATGGAGCCCTTAGAGATGATGAAAGAAACATAACTACTAATGACGTGCCCTGGCCATGTAGAGTTACAGATTTTGATGAATTCACGTTTAGGGGTTATAGTTGTAAAATTATAAATTTTGGGAATTGAAAGCAAGGTATAGCTCAATGACACATTGTTAGTGAAGAAAAAGTATGAAAACTCTAGATTTTATAGGATTCTGTCTTTCAATTTCTTTAGGCATAACCACCTTAATTTGATATTTGGATTTAGGTTTCTCGTTTGTCTCTATTGGATAGACAATGGTATTGTTCAGTATTTCAGTATTGGATTAGTTGATACGGTGGAGGAATGGCTCTGATGACATTAGTGGCTTTTTGACGTGAATGAATGCTCTTTCACTGAGAGTTCTTTCTTTTAAAAATTTCTTCATGATTTTTTTCTTGGGGAGTTAATATTCTCTGGTATTTTTTAATTTCCTGTATCCTATCTTGTGCCCTAAGATTTCAAATTATCACACTTTTGCCTCTTATAGATGATGCTATGAGCATTACGACTTTATTGCAGGCACAAGATTTTAGGACACAAGGGACCAAGATGAGGAGAAAGATGTGGCTGCAGAATATGAAGATAAAACTCATTGTCCTTGGCATCATCATTGCTTTGATTCTTATCATAGTATTGTCAGTTTGTGGTGGATTCAAATGTCATTAGTGTGTGTGTGGTCCAACGTGTTTCATTAGCAGTCATTCATGAACATGTGTGTGTTCTATCGTCCAATTATTTCACGTTTATTTCCCATTTTTTTCCGTGACATATTTTTCTCTTGCTATAGTTCGGATTTTGTTGGACAATGCTTGTATAGCTTGTGATTATGAATCTTCTTGAATATACCATTGGTCCTTGCTCATCATTGAGAAAGTCATTGCTTTACCTTTCAACTGAGGGAGTAAAATGTATTTTTAGTCCTATGTTTAGAGCCGATGTTGATTTTGTTGACAATTTCACATATTGGGGACACATAAAGCCAATGATCTGCTCAACTGAATCCTCCTCATGTCATTGATACTTCCATGTTTTCCCGTTACATTTGTCGTCTTTAAGTTACTTGTATCGTATCGTTGATAACCTTGGGTGGCACGTTGTTAGTAATATTAATTGATACGTCATCACTAAAAATATGGATCCATTTTAGAATAATGTTGTGTCCTCAATAGGACCATCTTCTTGTGATATGACATGAAATAATGAGATTAATCAATTGAGTTTTGTATTTAGATGTTTAATTGATCTTAGCCATATCTCGTGGATGGTTTCGGAAAATTTTCCTTTATATGAATTTTTAGTTTTTATTTTGATATTATTATATTCAAGTTTGAAAATTGTTTTCGTAGTTAAAGTCCTCATTTGAGCCTCAATCTAAAAAAAAACTTTGGGTTCATTTGGTTTGCATTTCAGTTTTGAATTTTGAGTTCATTTTCAATTTTCTCTTTTGAGTGTTTATTTTAAGATTTTTAAAAATGTATTTTTATTTGTCAATTTGAAAAATTATTTCTCGAAACAAAAATTTCAAGAACACGTTTGAATTTGAAATTTTGCAAATTATTTTATGACATTTTTATTTTATGAAATTTGATTATTCAGTAAAAATTGAATAATTTTATAGTGATATATTATCAAATAATATATAAATTTTAAAGTTGATGAATATTATAATATTTTTTCTCTCACCAAAAGTAATATAAAAATAAATAATAAATTAAATTAAAGCTGCGGATGGGCATAAGTATACCAATCAACGAAGAAGCTAAGGCCATCTCCAACCCAACATCAAATTTTGCACCATTTTTCACCAAATTTTGCACCAAATCTTGCACCAAACTAAAATTCATCTCCAACCATTACACCAAATGAACACTATTTAACCATTTTCTTCCCTTTTTTTATTCTTTCTAATCTACTTATTTGAAATATTATTTATTTAATTATTTTAGAAATACATAAATTACTAAATAAATAATTACGTTAAATTACGGAAAAGATTAAATTCATTAATAAATATAAAAAATATAGAACAATTAATAAAAATACTACAACAACGAAAATATGAAATAATGCCATTAGAAAATAGTACAATACATTTCGAATTTGGATAGACGACATTACGAAGTCGTTAAATTTTTGCAATTTAATTTTCAGAATTCATATGTTCATCCCACAAATGATCGATTAATGCATTTCGAAGTGCAATGTGAGTTTCTTTATCCTTGATTTGTCTATGACGAGCAAGGAATCCCTGAAAATGTCGATTTTCGTCTTCAACCAACTCAACTTCTGGACTTGACGCTTCCGTCCATTCTTGAATTGGTGCATCAACATTACGTTCGTCCTCGATAATCATGTTATGCATTATTATGCACTTTTTTATGTATCTTTTTAAAAATAAAAATAAAATTAGATTATCGTATGTATGTTGCTCTATTTAATATATTTCGTGTTAACTTTAATAAATAATCGTGTTTGATGTATTTTAAATTGTTTTTGTCTTTTAATTAATTAATTAATTATTATGTCTTACATTTAAAATTTATTTTAAACACAAATAATATTAATATTAATAAAAATAATAATAATTTATTGTATTAAAAAATATATAGCACAAATTACATAGATACCCTCAACAAATTTATTTGGGAAATGTAAAATAAGGGCAAAATGGGAATTTTACACTTTACACCATTTTGGTGCAAAGTAAATAGTGTTGCACCATATTTGGTGCAACACTATTCACTTTGCACCATTTTGCACCAAAATGGTGCAAAGTTTGGTATTGGATTGGAGCAATTTTGCACCAAAAAATGGTGCAATGGTGTTGTGGTTGGAGATGGCCTAAGGCCTGCTCACCCTAAAAAAAGAGGTTGAAAAGGCACATTAGCATGAGGAAGGAATAGTAATTGACAACTACCCTCACTCCGAAAAGGAAGGGCTAGTACGATGTTTATACAAGAATTAAAAATAAAAATTAATAAAGTGAACTGAGAATATTTTTATCTATATAAATTTAGATATATTTTTGAACTTTTTATGTAAATAATCATTAACAACTTGAACTATTTTTGTTTTTTAGAAATTTTTCGAATTATATATTTTTTAGATTTTTTTGAATTTGAAATTTTATTTTTTAGAATCTATAATTTTTTGTTATTTAAATTTATTTGATAGAATTATATATATAATTTTAAATTTTTATTAAAATATAATTTTTACTTAAACACTTAGGCCCTATTCTCTTTACCGTTTTCGGGTCGTTTTCTGTTTTCGATTTTTCAAAACGGTGAAAACGCATTCTCTTTCCCGTTTTCGAAAACGAATTTTCGAAAACGAAAAAAAATTTGTGAAGAAAACACAAAACGACTTTTTTGTCGTTTTGGGTGTTTTCAGTGTAAAACTTGAAAAAATTGAAAACGCGGGATACACTTCTTTTTTTTGTTTTTTGTTTTGAGAAACTAACAAAAAGAACGCATTTTCAACAATTTCAAAACAAACACTCAAAACACAAAACTCAAAATGAATTCAAAACTCAAAACACAAAACTGAAATACAAAGAGAACACCCCCTTATTTTTCAAGTTTTGAGCGTTTTTAGGATTTTTGTTGAAAAACACTCAAATAGTCAAAATTACTTTTTGATTTTCGTGTTATATATTTATCCTTATTTTCGAAAATACATTTTTTAAAAATATCAGATCAAACACATTTTCAGTGTTTTGAAAAATTGGAAACAGAAAATAGTCTGAAAACAGCAAATCAAACGCACCTTTACTTTTTTCTCTAATTTATTTTCAAGTACTTATTTTCTCCATAAAATAATTTTGCATGTAAATTTAAATTTTTTCGTATTTTTTAACCACACACTCAAAAAATTACTATTACCAAATTTTGCCCCTGTTTGGCCCCCATTTTGGGGAAAAATTAATGAGTGCAATAGTGTTTTTTTTTTTTGAAAAATAAGTGGTTGAAAAAGAAAGAAAAATTTTCGATTTACGTGTAATATTATTTTATGAAAGATTATGTAGTTGAAAATATGAGAGAGAAAAATGAAATGTAATAGAATGAAAATTAATGGGGGCCAAACGGGGGCTTAGTATCCTACCCTTACACACACAACCCTCGCCTTATCCATTTTCGCACTCAAACTCAAAAACTATCCATCCCAGGTCTTCACACTTAATCAATTACCATACTATTTCCCCACCCACCATCGTCCTCTCACCCAAAAGAACCAAATATGGTGACAGAGCATCTGCTATGGCAGTGATTAGGGCGGCACGATCGACCTTCCGAAGATCCCAACAATAAAGTGGCGTTTGTCGATTTCTTTTCAATTGGACACATCCTTCATTGAATTGGTCCACGGCCTTTGAAAGCGACGTCCTCTCACCCGCCCCGAGCGGTAAAGATGATGCCTTTTAGTTGTTTTGCTATTTCCATCCATATTTTTACACCCTTTTGTTGATGATTTTTTTTTTTTAAGTTAAAATACGGTGGCATGGAATTCGACTTTGAATTGGAACGTGAAAACCTAATTTGAATCACCAAGGAAGAGAAATTTAGTATTTGTTTCTACCAGAGCCTATATTAAATTATAGCAGCTCAAACTAACAAGATTTAAAAAGACACACTTCCAAATTTAACAAACAGACCATAAATTCAAAGAAAGTGGGGGAAATTGTGGAATTAGAGATGAAAGGCGAATAAAACATTTCAGAATAATTCTGGTCTTCGTGCTGCTCCGCGTAGCACAGAGCTCCTGAATTGTATGGGTCTGTTGATAGAATGCAGGATTGTTTGTAATCTCATTACCTCTCTACTTACTAATATCAATTTGATTATATGTATATACTAGATTCATATCCAAGTTGATATAAAACAATGTATGACTGCAAGCATCATATGCTGACTTTGCTTTATATAAAAGATTTCAGCTGCAATTGATGGTTTTGGTTATTGCCATAATTATTACAACTTAGAACTCTTTAATTGTTTTATTTATTTTGATTAATCTCTATTATGTTGTGTTTCTTGTCGCTACTTGCATGTGTTCCTTTTGGATCAAAACCTGTTGATGAAGGCTCTTTGACCATCTCAGGTCTGCATCTCATTGTGATCCATTTTACAAAGATGGGTTTCCTCTTTGCTTTGCATAATTTTATCAACTTATGTATCTTTTCAAGCATAATCTGCTTTAGTTGCAATGAATTGTGATAGGGCATCTAAAATAAATGGGGAGTTATGCATACTCAAAGAGCCTTTACACCTAGGAGGTTCTCGATCGTACATACGTGATTATGCACCTCTAATTTATTATTCAATGTCTAGTTCAGACTCTTATTCAATAAGTTTGACAAGTTCGAAGCCGGTAGAATTTCCCCTCTTTTATAGAAGGCAAGACTTCACAAGAATAGCTTATGCCATGTTCTTGTTAAATAAGGAGTGTAGCACTTCTTAATTTTTTAAGGTGTCAAACCATATTGGAACATATACATTATTTTTGGAGCATTATAAGACAGTATAATAATGATCTTACATGAATTTTCTGTTATACAAGGCTCAGAGCTGTGCATATAAATTTTTCTTGTTCATTTTGTTCCCATCCACATTTTTGCGTTTTTGCACATGAATGTTGATTCTTTTTACTGATGTGTAGATCAGGAAAGTAGTGTGAGCTCATTATTCAGCTTCTAAACATTTTTGTACCTATCATTCAACAGATATTCTTACTTAAATGAAGCAATTTTAACTCCAACGTAATTTGTTAAAAGAATGATATTATCTACTTTTTGTAATTGCATTTGATTGTGGAGAAGATCTTTGGAGTAGTTGTTGAATCTTATACAAGCATTTATCTTTTATCATCCACTAACATGATTTTTAGTAAATAT